TTAAACTCAAAAAAAAAAAAAAAAATACCAACAAACAATTACTATTTAAAAAACATTTTATTTAAAAAAAAGATATTTGTATATATCTTTAGCTTTAGAATATTTGATGAATAGGATATCATTATTATTGATAAATTATTTTCACCAAGTATTTTAATATCTTAAGATTACTTCTATAACAAATAGTTTATGTAAAAAACAAGAAAAAAAAAATTTAATTAGAATGCAAGAAAAAAAAGAAAAAAAAGATTTAATATATAAACTTAAAGTTTTAGATGAAGATATTGAAACTATATATTTGCTAGCAGGTTATAGTACAGAAGTTTCTCTCTTACTATGGCTTTGTAACAATTGCTTTGAAATATTAAACAATGATAATAATAGTACTATATTAATCTGTGGTTATGATTATTATTGACATTACTACAATCTAATGAAAATGTAGATGTTGGTATTGTGAGCAGTATTACAAAAATAGAATAAATAAGAATATGAATTCATTTTTGCAAAAACTTGAAAAAAGAAAAAATAAACTTACCAAAGAAGATAGAATTGAGAAACCAGAAGTTTCAGAAGAATGCACAGAAAAGCATAAAGAGTATAAAAAAATTCAAGTTATAGATGAAAGAGATACAGTTTTATCAAATTTGCAAAAGGAATTGGAAAATATAAATAAGTAGTGATAAGTAAATATTTCACTGTTTACTAACCTTTCTATTAAATATTTATGGTATTATTGGATATAGAAGTTGAACTAACTAACACTATATTTATATTTCTGCTATATATTTACGTTTAAGCTATCTACCTTTAAACACTTGATCTAACTTGATCTGAAAGTTTCAAAAGGCTCGTTAGGTCACGAAGAACATACTAATATCAAAAAAATTTATGTTACATAAGCACCCGACAGAGTCGTCATATTACTGATAAGAATTTAATATAGATTCACGAGATATTAGCCAATCATATTCAATTTGACGATCAAAATTGATAGCCAATAAAAACAAATTTCGATCATGCTTTTACAGAGGGTATTGATAGTAAAATTGGGGGTTCTAATTGGCACAGACAATCATCGAACATCGAACAATCATCGAACACCCTGTTAGGTAAATAGATGTACCCGTACCCAGTGTTGTACGTGGACAGCCTTTGGACAAGATTTTGGACATTTTGGACGAAAAATAAAATGAATTTACTCAAAAATTTATTAAGATAACCTATTCAAATCTTTTAAGCAAAAATGTTTAGAATTAAATGAAGAATATAATCATATAATTTTTATCTCTATTGCTAAAATATTTAAGGCTATGGACAGCTTGGACACTTTGGACACTTTGGACACTTGGACGTTTAGACGTTGGACATGTCCAAAAAAGCTTTGGACATGTCAAAATGTACAACACTGCCCGTATTGGGTACATAGATGTACTCTAGAACACCCCATTAATTTATGCAGTAATGTAGTAAAAATTATCTGGAACACAAGAAACATCTAATTTAAATTTAACTTTAAACGGCATTCCATATTTATGCTAGTGGCTATTATCAAATTGATTTTGATTTCTTTTTATATTTTTATTTCTTGTAAATAAATGCAATATG